GCCGTGTAGCTCTGCTGCGAGCCCGCTGCTTAAACGCTCTGTGTCCCTGACGCTCGAAAGCTCAGAGCAGATCGCATCGATGCGGGCCGGCAGGACCCGTATCTCACGCGGCGAAGCGGACAGGTCACTCCAAGTGCCCAGCAGCTTGAACTGGTCTGCGGGCAACGGGAACTTCGGACCGCCCGGCACTGCAAGTTTGGCGCCAATCATCTCATAGAACAATTTCTAGAGGGCCCACGCCTGAGCCACGCTGTGGTCGGGTTCTACGCAGTGGTGGTCGTCTTGATAATGCTGCACAGGCACCAAGAGGCGAGGCTGTAGGAGGGCGCACATGGCCATGGGCAGCCGCGCGCACGCCTGGACGCACGCGGCCGTGCCAAAATGGCTACCCCGCAAGCAGCCAAACCGCGCGCGATGCGCGCGGGTGCAGCAGAACGCAACGACCAGGTTGAGACCGACCAACACTTGCCTGAAGTGCTTCCACAGGTTGGCGAAAAAGCCCTTGAGGTGCGTGCCTGGGCACAGCTCCCCCCAAAACCTGACGACAGAGACGTGGTGGTCCACGCCAGCGAGGCGGTGCGTCTCGTAGCTGCCGAAAGTGGCGTTGATGTTGTTTTCAGAACAGTCGTCGATGTTCCGAACATCGCTGTCTTGCCACCGGGGCTTGCGACGGACGAGGACCTTGCCTTTGCCTGGGCAGGCCTCCAGAGTGTCGAAAGGGCCTCCCATGAGGTTGAGGGCGAACTCCTCGTAAGTCTTCTGGCAGGCCCGCTCGTCCAGCGCGGAATCGCCGGTAGGGCCGCACCGCCCGACGAGCGCTGCATTGCGCGCCGGGACTTGCTGCCAGAACTCCTCGACCGACATTGCAGGGGAAGCGAGGTTCAGCGAGTGCACGCCACGGTCGCTTGCAAAGCCCACAACGGGCATGCCAACGAGCAGATCATCTGGCAGATGCGCATCTTCGTAACCAGCTTCCCGCAAGAGCCGGCGGAACAGCGAGCAATTCCAGTGCCCGTGCAGCAGCGCCTGGTCAGCCGAGAGGCTGGTCTTCCAGCTTCTGTAGCTGGGGGCTGGCTCTGCCTGTTTGCGCAAGAGCGCGGAGCACATATCCCACCGAAGCTGCGCAATGCCGCCCCGCAGTCCGGCCGCGCGCTGAACGCACTGGACCAGCCTGGCCGGCAACAGGCGCGGTTGCGCCAGAGGATGCGCTACCTGCGCAAGGGCAAACTCTATGAATTCCGCCGGCGGCAAGTCAGGAACCAAGCGGCCTACTGCGCGCCCTCGAGGCTGTCTGCCTGAGTAGCCCGCTAGACCGGCCACGCACGCCGCCTGGGCGGGACGCGGAACGCCAAGTGCAGGCACGCACGACGCGCTGCTGCCGTTCCGGCGCACAGCTGGGGAAGGATCCCCTGGCGGCACGCCATCAATCGCCAGCGCGGGCGCGGGCGAGGCACAAGGCGCCGGGCCCGCCTGCCATCACTCGCGCTCCCACCTGGGGTGCGCACCGTAGCAGCTCCAGACGTCGCAGCAGTGCACCACCTTGTGTTGCTTGTGCTTGCACCTTTGCTGGGAGCAGCCGACCGTGTTGTAGTCTGGGCAGATGGGGGCCCCGCCCCCGTCGAAACGGGCGAACCGCGGCCTCGGCCGCATCTCCCCGCCCGCGGCCACGCCGCCCTTCCCCGGGCCAGAACCGCCTGCCGCCGACCCCGTGCGCCGCCGGCTCTGCGCGCCGTCGTCGGAGCCGCCGCGCTGGCGCTTCTGCGGCTGCCCGGTTCCGCGGCCTCCGCCCCTGGCCGCTTGCGTAACAGGGGCGGGCGGGGCTGAAGTGGAACAAGCCCTGCTTCTTGATGAATGCTTGCTGGAAGGCGCCATCAAAGGAGACGTTGTGGCCGGCCGGGCTCTGCCTGAGCAGCTCCGCGATCCGCGTGCGGAGCTGCAGCTCGGCCAACTGCAAGGCTACCAAGTTGGGCCTGACCTTGGAACCTGGGATGCTGGTCGTTGCCAAGTCCACCAAGGTGTCCACGAAGTGCGACACCAGCGGCCAGGAACACCACAGGACCTCTTCACTCTTCTGGTTCAGGCACCAACGGATGCCGACAATGGAGTAGCCGTTGTATAGGATCCGCAGGTTGAGAAGCCATTGCGCCGCGCTAAGCGCCTTGCTGTTGCCGCCAATGTCAAGAAGATGGCCGTGCGAGCCCAAGCTGAAGGCGATCCCCGGCACCACTTCAAAGTGTTTCGTGTGGGCGCTCTGCGACGCCACGGACGTGATCTTCGCGAGGTTGATAACTGTGTAAGTCCCGCGCTCCCGTTCCCGATGGAGGCGGCCCAAAAGCGAATCGCTGGGTTGACGGGTCAGCTGGATGGGGAAGCGGTAGAACTCAGCGTGAGCCTCAATGATGGTCCTGCGTGCAACAGGGTCGATCGGAGCGTCCATGTCTTCGCCTGGCTTGTCCTTGCCCCAGCGAAACCTTTCCTCGTCCCTCTGCGCTGCAGCCTTGTACGCGCGCCGCAAGGCGGCGACGGGCGTTTTGTCCGTGCTGGCGGGCTCCATGGACGCAGAGATACCCGTCCAGTCTTTGATGTCGTCGGCGAACTCAACAAACTGCCACAGATTGAGGCAGCCGCGCTGGACCAGCATATTGCTGATAGCCGGGTCCAAGGTGAACTCGCCCAGGATCTGCGTGAGCTCGCCCTCTGTCTCCAACGCGACAAGTGGTCGTTGGGGACGGTGGGCGGGTAAGTTGAGCCCCTCCCGTGCGGCACAGGACACCGCGACAAGGGAGGGGCGCGCCGTGCGGACCGCAACGAGGCGCTAAACCCGCTGAGCCGCCTGAGCTGCACGCGGCTGCGGCGGCATAGAAATGAACGGCGTGCACACGAGCCGTCACGGCGTAATGTTTTCCTTGAGAGTAGCGAACGTTTCTGGATGGGCGAGAAGCGGCGGCCCCGCTGGTGCAGGGGCCGCCAAAAAGGTAAGGACCAGATCCCGTGACAAGATAAAGCAGGGATGCAAGGGTAACAGCACATGCAGCTCAACAGTCACGTGCAGCACATACGCTGGCTCAGTCTGATGCCGCCACACAATGTATCTCCCCCGCCGGCACGAGCGGCGGCGCTCGCAACGGGACCACATCCACAAGACAACCATCATCTGAGAGGCCGGCGGGTCCAGAGGGCCAACAACTCCGAACGAGGAGAACACAGCTGAGCAGCAATAGGCCTCAGCCACTACTTCCCTGCCACAAGCCCGGAGCCTCGTTCCAAGTGCTGCTTGCAGCAGGGGCTCTTTTTTTCTCCACAAGACAACGTGGGTGGTAGCTTGGCGCCGCAGCGGGATCGTGCGTCCCAAGGCCCAGCGGCACGATCCCAACGCCCTGCTGCCGCGGGCAAAGGTCACCAGCGAACGACGGGAAATCCAACGCAAACAGCATCGAGGAGGAAAGGGGGGACCCCGACCCCCAGAGAGGGACAGAAAAAGCGGAGCAGGAGAGGGAGGGAGGGAGGGAGGGGGGAGCGAGGCAGGGGAGCGAAGCAGGGGGGAAACCCTCGGAACACTTCCCTGAGCAGGCAACACAGTTCGGAGGAAGCGTTCCTCGGCAGGCGGCCTCCTTGTGAAGCCAAGAGTGACGCGACTGTGCATCGAATCCCGAAGCACGCGTGGCCGCCGAAGCGGGTCGCATCCGACAGACGGACGACGCGCTGGGCGCCGACCGGGAGAAAAAAACCGCACTTTGCGCGCAGGTTGTCCGGAGACCTGGCAACGTGCAGCGTGGCATCGCCAAGCGCGGATACGTGTCCGAGCAAAGTGCCGCCCCGCACTGCTTCTTGCAGCGCCAGGCGTACTTGCCCCAGTGAGCGGCCGTGCCCTGGGGCCGGCGCGCACGGGGCAGCCTCGCTGACCACGATCGGGCCACCAGTCGGCGCGCGCGGGATCGCAACGGCACCCCCTGGGGAGCGCGGCATGCCCGGGCAGCCCGCGGCCGGGGGTTCCCAGCCAGCGCGCAGCAGACCGAGGAGCTCCCCCCAGCGCAAAAGCTGCTCACCGCGCACGGAAGCGTCGCACCTGCGAGGCATCGAGCTCCATGGGGCCCAATTGCCGAACATGCACCCCTCGTGGTCGGTGAACACCGTGCGGCACAGGACACCGCGACAAGGGAGGGGCGCGCCGTGCGGACCGCAACGAGGCGCTAAACCCGCTGAGCCGCCTGAGCTGCACACGGCTGCGGCGGCATAGAGATGAGCGGCGTGCGCACGAGCCGTCACGGCGTGATGTTTTCCTTGAGAGTAGCGAACGTTTCTGGATGGGCGAGAGGCGGCGGCCCCGCTGGTGCAGGGGCCGCCAAAAAGGTAAGGACCATATCCCGTGACAAGATAAAGCAGGGATGCAAGGGTAACAGCACATGCAGATCAACAGTCACGTGCAACACATGCGCTGGCTCAGTCTGATGCCGCCACACAATGTATCTCCCCCGCCGGCACGAGCGGCGGCGCTCGCAACGGGACCACATCCACAAGACAACCATAATCTGAGAGGCCGGCGGGTCCAGAGGGCCAACAACTCCGAACGAGGAGAACACAGCTGAGCAGCAATAGGCCTCAGCCACTACTTCCCTGCCACAAGCCCGGAGCCTCGTTCCAATTGCTGCTTGCAGCAGGGGCTCCTTGTTTTCTCCACAACACAACGTGGGTGGTAGCTTGGCGCCGCAGCGGGATCGTGCGTCTCAAGGCCCAGCGGCACGATCCCAACGCCCTGCTGCCGCGGGCAAATGTCACCAGCGAACGACGGGAAATCCAACGCAAACGGCATCGAGGAGGAAAGGGGGGACCCCGACCCCCAGAGAGGGACAGAAAAAGCGGAGCAGGGGAGGGAGGGAGGGAGGGGGGGAGGGAGGGAGGGGGGGAGCGAGGCAGGGGAGCGAAGCAGGGGGGAAACCCTCGGAACACTTTTCCCTGAGCAGGCAACACAGTTCGGAGGAAGCGTTCCTCGGCAGGCGGCCTTATTGTGAAGCCAAGAATGACGCGACTGTGCATCGAATCCCGAAGCACGCGCGGCCGCACACGGAATAGCCGAAGCGGGTCGCATCCGACAGACGGACGACGCGCTGGGCGCCGACCGGGAGAACGAACCCGCACTTTGCACGCAGGTTGTCCGGAGACCTGGCAACGTGCAGCGTGGCATCGCCAAGCGCGGACACGTGTCCGAGCAAAGTGCCGCCCCGCACTGCTTCTTGCAGCGCCAGGCGTACTTGCCCCAGTGAGCGGCCGTGCCCTGGGGCCGGCGCGCACGGGGCAGCCTCGCTGACCACGATCGGGCCACCAGTCGGCGCGCGCGGGATCGCAGCGGCACCCCCTGGGGAGCGCGGCATGCCCGGGCAGCCCGCGGCCGAGGGTTCCCAGCCAGCGCGCAGCAGACCGAGGAGCTCCCCCAGGCGCAAGAGCTGCTCACTGCACACGGAAGCGTCGCACCTGCGAGGCATCGAGCTCCATGGGGCCCAATTGCCGAACATGCACCTCTCGTGGTCGGTGAACACCGTGCGGCACAGGACACCGCGACAAGGGAGGGGCGCGCCGTGCGGACCGCAACGAGGCGCTAAACCCGCTGAGCCGCCTGAGCTGCACACGGCTGCGGCGGCATAGAGATGAGCGGCGTGCGCACGAGCCGTCACGGCGTGATGTTTTCCTTGAGAGTAGCGAACGTTTCTGGATGGGCGAGAGGCGGCGGCCCCGCTGGTCCAGGGGCCGCCAAAAAGGTAAGGACCAGATCCCGTGACAAGATAAAGCAGGGATGCAAGGGTAACAGCACATGCAGCTCAACAGTCACGTGCAGCACATACGCTGGCTCAGTCTGATGCCGCCACACGATGTATCTCCCCCGCCGGCACGAGCGGCGGCGCTCGCAACGGGACCACATCCACAAGACAACCAGAATATGAGAGGCCGGCGGGTCCAGAGGGCCAACAACTCCGAACGAGGAGAACACAGCTGAGCAGCAATAGGCCTCAGCCACCACTTCCCTGCCACAAGCCCAGAGCCTCGTTCCATCTCCGTTGTTGGAGCGGTCTAGCGAAACGCTCTGATGGGGGAGGGGGCAGACAGACGGCCTACAGTGTGGGCCTCCGAACGACCGCCCGCGCGACCCCTGGTGGCCATGCCCCTCCTTCATGGACCGCTTGCCCCGATCTGTGGCCGCCGCGATCGCCGCGGCGACCTCCAAATGTGGCCCACAGGTTTGGTCCCATTCCCCGTCGCGTCGTGAAACATCACGGCGGCCAATGCGTTGCTATGTTCGGCCTCGGGACAGGCAAAACACGACTCAGGATAGCAGGCTGGTCCCTGGGAAGGGGTCCAGACCTCTGAGGGGTACGTCATGAAAAGATCATGACGTCGGGTCGGACATGATGCATCGACCCTGATCCCCTTCCGCGCGAGTGAACGATAAGGGGTGACCAAATCAGCGGGAGACGCATCGACCTGGAACTGGCGATACATCGCCGACAGATCATCGGCGACAGGCCCCCGATACCGTAGCCGCACGCTCCTGGGCGGGGCGGGCTAGAAGGTCCCGGTGGGCAATCAATGGGCGACGGGGGGCCCCCACGCTGCCCCCTGACGGCCTCTGCTTTCTGACGGAATGCGGTCCTCCAGAGCAGGCGCCACTGGTCACTGGTCTCTCATGCTACGCAGCGACAAAGAGCGAAGGCCCTGCGACCTCTTCAGAGCGCGGAACCCCGAGCGCTCCACGCCGAGACCGAGCACACGACTCCGGCGCGGCGTGAGGGACAGTAGAGGAGAGGTGAGTTGAATGAAGTAAGGTATACTAGCAGATGGACAGTCGAGTACGAAAGTGCCGCGCTCCATTCTTCTCCTCCTCCTCCTCCTCCTCCTCCTCCCTCCCTCCTCCTTTCGTACTTTCACTTCCTCCTCCTCCTCCTCCTCCTCCTCCTCCTCCTGCTCCACCTCCCACTCTACGGCCCTACTGTCTGGCGAAGCAGCGCGCTTCACATCAAGTCTGTCAGGTCCTCCAAGTCATTGGCATCGCCTTGGCCTGTCTCCTCGAACCTCGCCTTGCGTGCTGTACTCTCGTCCTCGAGCGTCGGTTCTGGAGGGTCCTGCGGATTCATGCCAACGCGCCGGAGAATCTCGTTGACGTAGAGTCTCGAGGGGTACTCGCTCGGGTGGTAGCCGTCAATTCTGTATAAACTGGGCACCTTGCGCTCGATTAGCTTGTCCATGATCGCATGGTAATCGATGACCTCGTACTTGCCAAACAGCATCCCATTGGTCGTGGACGAGCTGATGCACTTGTAAAGCAATGCGATGTCGCGCTTCTCAAACTTTTCGTGCGTGGGCGTGTGATCGATCGTCGGGGCAGTCCGGAAGGCGATGCGGCTTGTCGGAAAGATCTCAGACACTCTCTGCAGCAAGCCAGGCAGGTCGTGCGAGCACCACTGCTGCACGCGCTCCTGGGTCACCTTCTTCGGTGGAGGAACCTTTGCTTCAGAGGCTGACATCCCGTGCCGGTCACCGAGGGTGCCAAGCCTCCACACCAATAGGTCCCACAACGAGCTATCCACCACGACCAGGTGGGGGTTCCCGTTGAGCATATAGAAGGACGTCGCGTTCGCATATGTTTTCAAGATTGCGCCGGTCGACGGACCCTTCGCGAGTGCGGTCGGTTTATGAAGGTCACCATTGGCCCCAACACCAGGGTGGTATATGTAGCCCATCTTAAGGTGGAGGTCTTCGTTGATACACCAAGCGGACTCCACAGGATAATCGGTTTGCTCGCCATGGCCGTCGCAGAACTCCATAAGCGCATTTCGGTCCAGCGAACAGCCAAGCAGCAAAACTCGTCGCTCGTCCTGGACGACCGTCGTCGTGGACGGCTCGTCCATGACGTGCAGAGCAGACGCACCCGCAACGCAGGCAAATAAGAGCCAAGGCATCGAACACATGTTGGTCCCAACGCTACGCAAGTGCGCGTATAGGAATACAAAATGTGTGTGCGATCGCGATCTCGCCAGGGAGAGCCGGAACTTTCTCGAGCCAGAACGGTCACGGCCCCACCTCTCTGCCTGCTCGATGCGCCTGCTGTGCCTGCCTGCTGCACTCTGCGCTTGTCCTGTTTTTGTTTTTTCTCGGCGACGACCCCGAACCAAAACAAGGCTAGCCGTGTGCTGTGTCAGTGATTGCGTGCACGGCACCTCGGCCAAGATTAACCACGTTCGCGTAAGCTCCACGGCTTGCTTTGCTTGACAGTCCGGGGATTGATCGCCAGCCCTGTGCCGTTGCAGGAAGACGAAGAGGAGTAAGACATGGCAAACTCATGACAATTAGGAGCTCCGTGCGGACTTCTTGGGTCGGCGCTGGGCCCGCGGGCCGCGGGACCCCGGTGATCAGGCAGGACGACGGGAGAGCCACCTCTGCCCAGCAGCGGCGCAGCAGCGCCCAGGAACCAGACCAGCTGCTCACAACAGGGCTGACCATCGGGGAACAACAAAAACCATGAACATGCACTGTCGGAGATCCGTGCGGGTTTCTCGGATCGGCGCCGGGCTCCCCTCTCCGACCCGCTGCCTGTATCTCTGCAGCAGGGTCTTCTGAGCGGCTTCCTTTCGATTGTCACGGCTATGGCTCATCAGTTTTGTCATTCTACTTGTATTCTTCTGTTCATGCATCATCTGGTGACTCACCCTTTGATTCTTCATGAATTTCTGTATATCCTTCTCCTCGTTCTCCCAGCTATTCTGCATTCCTCTCATGGCAGCGCCCCACATTTGCAATCCTTGTGTAGTAGACTTTACAAAAGGACCTTATGTGGCGACCCTACACAAGGATTTTAGTGTGGGGGATCTGCAGTGGCCTCCACAATGAAAATGTGCAACAGGATTGCTCATCTGGCAACCTTACAGAAGGATTGTACTTGTGGGCGACCTGCAGTGACGGCACATTGAGCCCAGGAAAGATAGAGAGGAAAACCAAACATGGGAAACGCCTGTGTTTTCAAATGGAGAAACGAAGACAAGTTAAGAACACTGGTGGCCGTCTGACTTTTATGGTGCAGACGCTCCACACTTAAAACAGGCTGACATAAAAGGACTGTTTTTTTTACTGGAGACCTTTCAATCAGATGTTCATTGTGGGGGATCTGCAGTGGCCTCCACAATTAGAACACTTGTGCAACAGCCTTCGCAAAAGGGATGCCTCTTGTGACGGCCTTACGGAAGGGTTGTAAGTTTGGAGGGATCTGCAGTGGCGGCACCTTGAACCCAGGAAAGCGAAAGAGAAAAACAAGGACAACCATAACACAACATGAAACATGTATTCCCACATGGAAAAAGAGGAACAACATAGGAACACCTGTGGCTGTTGGTAAGTTTCGGGTGCAGACGCTCCGCAATTATGTAGCAGTCTTTAGAAAAAGGATTCCTTTTCTGGCGACCTGACAAAAAGGATAGCACATGAGGGGAATTTGCAGTGGCCTCCACAATTGGAATCCGTTTCTAGCAGCCTGTACAGAGGCATTCCTTTTGTGGCGACCTTACTTGTGGGGGATCTACAGTGACGGCACATTGAGCCCATGAAAGCTACAGAGGAAAACTAGAAAAACAAGAAAAGCATGACAACGCATGTGTTCACATGGAAAAAACGGACAACCTGGGCTGTCGGTATTTCTATGGTGCAAGCGCTCCGCTATTAAAATCGTTGTGTAACAACCTTTACAAAAGGATTCCTTTGGTGGCGGCCTTACATCATGGTTTTACGTGTAGAGCGTCTGCACCAATAAAAATACCGACTGCCAGAGGGTATCTTAGCGGCTTCTTATTCTTTTTGTGGAAGCGCATATGTTACTCCTGATGTGTGTTCCTGTTTTTCTTTCTAGCTTTCCTGGGTTCAAGGCGCCACCACTGCAGACCCCCCACAGTTAAATTCCGTCTGCAAGCCGCCACACAAGGAATCTCTTGGTACAGGCTGCTACAAAAGGATTCTAAGTATGGAGGCCACTGCAAAACCCTTACACTTACAATATTTTTCAAGTCGCCGCAAAAGGAATTCTTGTGTAAAGGCTGCTACACAACGATTTTCCGTGTAAAGGCTGCTACACAAAGATTTTCCGTGTGGAGCGTCTGCACCGTAAACATATACACAGCCACAGGCTTTTCCGTATCTTCCATGTGACAACAAGTTGTTTTCCCTGTTTGTCATGTTTTCCTCTCTAGCTTTCCTGGGCTCAGGGTGCCGCCACTGCAAGACCCCCCACGAGTAAAACTATGTTGTAAGGCCGCCACAAACAGGAATCCCTGTGCAGAGGCTGTTACAAAAGGATTCAGTGTGCGGAGGCCACTGCTGATCCTCCATCCTTTGAATCCCCACATCACAAATCCTTTTGTAAGGGTTGTTACAAAAGGATTTTATTTCTGGAGCTTCTGAACCATAGAATACAAACAGTCAAAGGTGTTCCTAGCTTTGTCCTATTTACTCTGTGAAACACAAGTTTTCACATGGA